GAGAGAGAGAGAGAGAGAGAGAGAGAGAGAGAGAGAGAGAGAGAGAGAGACAGAAATGAGCAAGTTTCCCACAAGTATCATATAAAAAGTGCAGTAACTACAGTTGGCAAACGTTGTATAGAGACAAAATCTATTAACACTGCTGGCCTTTAGTCCATGCACTCAGGAGGCAGAGGCATATAGGTCTTAAGTTCAAGACCAGCCTGATCTACAGAGCAAGTTCTAGGACAGCCAGGGCTATCTCAAAACAACAACAACAAAAATCTATTGACAATAATACAAAAAAAATTATTACATTTTAATTCAAACTATCTGTGGTGGTTTGAATGTAATTGACCCCCATAAGCTCATAGTGAGTGGCATTATTAGGAGGTATGACCTTGTTGGAAGAAGTCTGTCACTGTGGGTGTGGGATTTGAGGTCTCCTATGTTCAAGTGTCTCAGACCTGCTGCCTGTGGTCAAGATGTAGGACTCTCAGCTCCTTTCTCCAGCACCATGTCATGCCACCATGCTATACCATGATAATAATGGACTAAACCTCTGAAAAGGTAAGCCATCCCAATTAAATGTTTTTCCTTTATACGAGTTGCCGTGTTCATGTTGTCTCTTCACAGCAATAGAAACCCTAACAAAGACAGTATATACGGTGATAGTGATGCACATCTATGTGAACTATCTGCATTATGTCCAATTCTAATATGTTTTACTATCTACTAAAGAGTAGCTAAAAGATTAATAATAATCACTAATTTCTTATACTGGGTTGAAATAAGTTTATTGTTTGTAAATACTAAAATAAACCTTTCAGAAGATAGTATTCCATTATAATGGACAGCCAGATTGATTTTTTATGACCCTACACTCTTCCTCTATATAAACACTGACATCAGTGTCCACAAAGTACAATTAAATCTTCAACAGTAGAATCCTTGTGTGAAACATCATCATTATTAAATAGAATAAAAATATTAAGCCACGCCACCCTTTAACATGAACACAATTCAATGGTCACAAAAGTGATATTGTTCATAATTTAAATTCTTTTTTAGCCTTAAAAAAGTGTATTTAATACCCTCTATTCAAAAACAAAAATAAAACAGGCTAGATGCTTCACCAGATGAATTCTACCAAACATTTAATGGGTTAGCAGATTGTAAGTACTTTGGTCACATTTATTTTATTAAAATGAAATAGCTACTACAATAATAAACTGAGAAAAATAACATGTTATAAAAATAAATGTGAAAATTCTGGACAAACTGAATCCAGAAGTGTATGATTATATATTATTGAGGAGTTTCTTAAAGATTTATTTTTACGTGTGTGTGTGTGTGTGTGTGTGTGTGTGTGTGTGTGTGTGCAGCTACATACAGAGGCCAGAAGATGGCATCAGATCTCTGGAGCTGAGTTACAAATACTATGAGCCACTGAACATGAGTGCTAGGATTCGAACTTGGGTCCTCTGCAACAGCAACAAGCAGAGCCCTCTCTCTGGCCCCACCAAGTTGAGTTTTATTCTAAGAGCACAAGTATGTGCTGGGAGCCTTGCTTCTGGTGGGTCCAATGACATGGGATGGATGTGTGGAGTAGGCACCATTGTGAATACCTGTTTTTATTCAAACAAGTGTTCCCCAGATATCCTGAGTTGTTTTTATTCATCAGTTTCAATGGTTTGCATAAGCAGTTTGACAATCACTTTTTACTTCCTAAGGTTCTAAAAATGATTACAATAATTACCGGTTTGCCCCTTGCTTCTTTTCCCTTCTGTCCTCCAACTCTCCCACCACTGGCCATTACCTTTTTGATCTCTATCTCGACTGTTCGAAGCATAAGCAGTTTTGCAAGCTACAAAGGAACTTTTCTAACTGGACTCACCTACAGGGAGAACAGTGTGCCCAGTTGGCAGCATATGCGGTTACAGCATCATGCAGGATGAATTTGTCTCTAGTGGTTAATATTTACATCTGGTATGGTCTGGGTTCTCACAATCAACTCACCAGCCAAAGCTGGATGAATCCATTCTACATTCTGTACTACTCTGTCTCCTCTGGGGACATGGCAAGTTTTCCCATTTATCCTATAGGCAACATAACTTGGAAACTTACTCTTAATAGTTGGCACTGTTTATCCCTTATGCATATATTCATCTCTCTTAATTTCTTGTGGTATTTGCACAGTTATTAGAAATGAGATAGCTATGGGTTACTATGATTCTGCTTCACTTCCTGTTCCTAGACTGTTCCCATTAACTCCTAATATCATCTATTTAATAACATTTCTCAAAGACTTCTATGGTTAAAATCACTCTTTCCAGAACAATTATGTAAATATGTAATATTAAACTTTATGACCTACTGTGACTCATTCAAGCCAGCAGTATTGCCAGTATGATGAAAGCAAGGAGAACATGTAACACATGCTCCCAGGGTCATGCCCAGAATTTTGCAGGAAACTGTCCACAGGTCTTTGCTAAGTGGGTCAGGGTCTCCATGGCTTTGCCATAAGGAGAGACACTTGTGCTATTTTGGGGCTTTGTCTCCTGAAGAAATCACATGGCTCCTGCTAAGAATGCTTTAAAATTAAAAATCAATTACAATTTTAGGAACAAATCATGTGATTATCCCAATACGTGCAGGAAAAAGTATTTGATAAAATTCAACACCTCTGATTTTAAAAACACCATAAAGAACTATAACTAGAGCTCTGGACAGTAGAGGTCATGCAGAGTCATTGTCACTCTGAGCAAAGAACTCTGGGCAGAGGAAGTCGAGGTTAGAGAGGACTGGGAGACAGACAGTCCTTGGCTGAGTTTTCTTATTTCCTCCTCAGAGATGTGAGTGATGTCAGAGACAACTACATTGGGTGAAGGTCTTCTCTCCTGGTTTCCAAAATTCTTCAGGTCAATAGTCAAGCCTTCATTCTGGCTGCTGGCCTGCTGGCCTTTGCAGGTATCAGTGGGAGTGGCTGCTTTGCTGCTGGTGGTGTTTGTGGGGGTGATGTTGATGATGCTTCCTTGGAGTATGGTTCTGCTTCTCCAAGTTAAAGCTTTTATTGCTCTGCATGTTTTCTCCATTGACTTCAGTTTGAACATTGTTTAAACTCTTAAATCATCAGGTTCAAATTTGACTTCACCTTCCATATCATGTAAGAAGGTTCTATTAATGGACGCAAAATCATGATTCTGAATTTTTTGGACTCATGGAGCATAAAGTTTACAGATGTTATCGTAGATTCAAATAATATATTAAGACTCGCAACTGACTAAATTACTTAAAATTGTATGTCAAATTATTATATATGTTACACAGAGAAATTTATGAGGTAATTCCTCTTGTTCTATGATACAACATTTAAAAGAGAAAACAATATTGAAGGAGATAGTTAGATTTAAATATCTACACACCAATGACTGATTGCTCTCACTGCCATAACATCTGTTTTGGTTATCTCCTGATGACACTTCTAAGTCTGGCTCTGCTGAAAAAAAAAATATTTGTAGTTTAAAATTATATATATATATATATATATATATATATATATATATATATATTCACTGATTTACTACATTTGCTGAACACATACTTACTGCTACCTATAATAAACAAAATACAACTCTGCAATATTCTTTACTTCAACCCATGATCCCCTCCCAATGGAGAGTCAGACAAGAAAAGTGGAGACAACCTCTCCATATGTACTTCACACTGACCCAATATTCTGCAGTTCTGTATCAAAAGATTGTTTCACTTTTCCACTCTCTACACTCACCAACTTCCTTCCGTTGACTCACTGTACTCTACTTTTGCCACTTTCCATGCCTCTTCTTTGAACATACTTAAAATGTAGCTGTACTTCACTGCCTGTCCCGCCACTCTAAACTTAAAATGTCACTGAAACTTCATGAGGAGTATGTTCACCGTGTGCTCCAGCACACTCCTCTAATACGCATCCAAAGGGAAACTCACTTTAGCTGACAGAATGTATCACTCCTCTTGTCTTTAGTAAACATTCTTCCAAATGATTTACATGTGACATACACTTCTTACCTTCCTCTTCTCCGCTTATAATAGTTTTGCTTCTTTGATCTGAAGTCACGGATAAATGGTCAATACTCTTTGGTTGAAGATGTTTAAATATATTCTGGAAAATGAATGATGGTAGTGATTTGCATGAATATTTCCTAATTACTTTGTAGCTAAAATCTAAATGTTCTGCTTTATAAGCATGTATTCTTAAAAATAAGAGATTTACATATTGCAAACTTAAAAACAAACTGAATAGGGAAAATCACAGTGCTGCCTAGATCAAGTGGATTTTTAATTTCATTGGGTGACCACGTAAACTGACAATGGGATCAAGTGTATTTTTAATTCATTGGGTGATCATGTAAACTGACAATGGAATGAAGGTACAGAAATTAGGAACAGTAGTAGCTGGCAATTTTGAATACATAATTACTACTTATATCCCATAACTGGAGGACACTTAAAATACATACCTGAATATATTAATTTGACTTGCTTTTCTGCAGCATTAAGTATCTAGAGAAATTCCAGTAACTTATTTGTTTTATTAACAAAAAAGACACATCATAAAAGACTACATACTATAGCAAAGGAAACTCAAATAATAACAAAACCTATTGAACACCTTCCAGAACAATGTTTAACTAAACACAAGCTACTGTAGATTCTAAGTTCAAAATTTTATAACTAATTAATTTTTTTCTAGTCAAATATTTTAAAATAAAATTCTCATTAATGTCTACTAGATATATAGAAAATTCTTAAACTCTAAAATATAAATTCATGAATCCTATGGTGAATTAGTTACTACAATATTAATGTAAAAGTGAAATTGAATATTTACTTACAACTGACTGAATATTTTCATAGTCATGACTTCTTTGCTTTTCCTTTGGTTTCACTTCTAAGTCTGCCGCTGACAAAACATAAATGTATGTACTTAGAGAATGAAAAGCATTCATATAGTGTGAGTCTTTGTAATAAAAGATAAAACAATTAGTAAGTTATACAACAAAAAACAGACTCAATAGGTTATATTTATTGCTATATATTTATGCATGCATCTGTCTATCAATATATACAGATATGTGTGTAAAAAATAATAATAATAAAGAGACCATCAATCTGAGAAAGAGTAGAAGGGGACATGGAATAGGTTGGAAGGGTTGGAGGGAGGAAAAGAACAGGATGAAGTGCTATAATTGTATGTTAATTTAATATATTAATATAATAATAAATATAATTATACTAAACATTAAAAATTTTACTTTCCAGTTTAAAATAACCAATTAAGCTTAATTTTCAATTTGACACACACTGTCTTATAAAATACATGTCTTTCTTAAGACATTCACTACAAATTACTATCATAATATTTAAATTTATAGTTCTTGTAACCAAGGTGTTGGTAAGTACTTTTGATATCATCTCACAGTAACTTTTATGTCTGTGTTTTCTGTTTGTCATTTTATTGAGATATATACCAAACTATAGGCATGCATAATTTAAGTCACAGTGCAATAAGCACTTAACTGATCCACTATCTAACCGACTTCCTCCCCGGCTTCTGTTGTAACCACAATTCTAACATTCATGATTTTCTTGAGTTTTTTGTATGTCTCTGCCATGAAGTCATGAGTTCCTAAGTAACTCTATTTGCCTTGTCTGTTTTGAACTCTGTATCAGTGGATTATGTCAAAAACTTACAGGCATTTACTATATGTGGTTAGAAGGAGACATACAAGAAAGAAAGAGGAAAAAGAGGACAGTGGTAAAGGGGAAAATGAAAATAAAGTTTCCATGTGTTAAACTACTGAAATGAAATTCACTACTTTGTATTACAATTAGAAAAACTGAATAAATAATTTTGAAAATGAGGAGGAATCGGATATGCAAATTGTATGTGGAGCCTTAAAGTGATTAGAAATAAATTATGAGAGTGGTTAGCATTCATTTTTCAACGGAGATAGATTACTGTAAATGCGAAAGGAAAAATAATGGCTGACATGATGAAAAATGATGAGAAATGGTTTCAAGAGAAGAAAAGAATGTTTCCCTGGTCTCCCCAAGTACAACACTACTAAAGATCAGTCCAGAAAAACATTCCATTTAAAGAATGGAAATATAAATTGTGATCCCTAGAGGGCTAGATGCTGGTATTAGCACCACGTATAAGATGTAAAGAAACTGCATGAATGTTGCTTGTGTATATTTTGATGTTTTCTTCTCTGTGTGTATATGTGTTGACAGAATACTTTGAAGATTTCTCAGGGATGTCTGCCTCTTGCATATAACAGGCTCTCAAAAACTAATGTCGTGGAACAGAGTTTAGTTCCCTGTTAGAGAATAAGAAGAGGATGGGAGGGAGACCTAGGGGAAAAATAGGTAAATAAACAAGCAAGCCAACAGAGAACACTAATCACAAAGAAATCAAAAGAAAAGGAGCCAAGCAGGGGAAAAGGAAAGAAGATAAGTACACTGAATGAGTATCTAAGTTTAGAGTTGCTACTGGCTATAACTATTCTAGAACATAATTGAAAACCTTCTGTAAAATAGACTGTTAATGTTACACCATAGAAAAGACACAGATTACCACATCATATGGATACCTTCTATAAACAAGACACCATGATGGCCAAGGAGAACTGAAGTTTGTAGTATAGAAATTACATAAAAATTTGCCCAGTATACAGTGTTTTCAGCCTGAATTTAAAAAGTCCACCTGTATTTTTAAAACACAGTTTCTTCATGTGTAATTTGGGATCACTCAAAACTCCTATGCATGAGAAATCTTTGCCTCAGCCCACCAAGCAGCTGACTATATACGCGTTTAACTAATATTTGAGGAAACATTCATTAATCTGTTTTAAATGTGGATTTTAAACGTTAAACTCCAGTAAAACCTAAGGAACACAGTGCTTCCAGTATGGGACTGTGGACATATTCATGCATAGAAGTTGAAGCAGCTGAACTAAAGCTGAGTTATAGAAACTCTGTCTGAAACTCACAAGTAGCTTGCTATGGAACAATGAAGGTTAAAGTGATGTTTGAATTACTTACACAAAACGCTTCCATCAAATTTGAAGAGCTGAAGAATTTGGATTCAAAGACTGGTCATGTCAAACACTCATAAGCACTTGTTAAGGAGAAATTCCTATTTCTACATTTACCTGCCATGAATGATATTTCTTGCTTCGTTGATGGCTCCTCAGCTGGTACAGAATCTTGCTTTTTAATGGCAGTCTGCATGGGGTTGAAAGGAGACATTTAATGATTTTTGCATATGTCATATATTGGGAAGTTAATGATATACAATAAAAAGTAAACAGTATTACCTTCAATTCAATATATTCATCAGAAGAGTCTGAAAAGCAAGAGATACGTAACTAATTATATATTAGCATGAGAAAGTCAGTCAGGATTTCACACTGAATTAGTGTAGAGAACCATCATCGTCATAGTTAACACTAGGGATATTTCCCTTAAGACTGGGATTCAGTTTATTCTCACATTGCTTGTTCTGTCTAATGAGGACAGAAACAGAACTGAAATCCAGTGGGGAAAGTGAATGTTACTAAAACAAAAAGACAGGTACCAATGTGGTGTTCAAAATGAATTGGAAGAAACTGGCCATTATACTATGGAATTTTATGGTTTCGTCGTGTTATTTTTATTTAGGAAACAAAATCAGTCATAAATGTAAACTGGAATGGGTAAATTATTTATCTTCCAAGATTTTTTTCAAAGTAAGCATCTTGGATGTTTACTTGTAGAATACTAAAGCATAAAATGTTCCATTTTCATATGCATTTGAGGAATATTATTAATGTATTTCATTTCCTTTGGTTTATAGAAACTTTTTAGTGAACACTTTGTAGAAGGTATATAGCCTAAGCTACAATATAAAGCCTTCGTTTTGCCTCTAATGTACAATTGTTACAATAAAATATGTCAATTTTCCAAAATCATTTTGAAATTACTAAATTTCTATATTTGAAATCAGGATAACATTTACCAGAAAGTATAACTTTCATATAAGTAAATGAATGATGTACAGTTAATTTTTCCATAAGTGCATTGGCTCCACAGAATGTGAATTACCTAATGTCTTTCAACATACAACAAAATTACTAAGAATCTAACTATCCTGACAAAACAACAGAGGTTGCTGCTTTCCAGTTCATGGCATTGAGTTTAATGGGAGTCCCATTTTTTCATGTGTCACTTTGATGGACAAGACAAATGAGTGGCTGAACTTCACCACTTTTTCCTACTATATTATTTTGCCAGTGTTGAGTCTGGTTTCAATAAAGATGTAGCAGCCCTTTCTTCAAAATGCTCTCTAAAGTTTCCTCATCATTGGTCCCAAGTTTTCATTCTCTATTTCTATCTTTCCTCCTCTCCCATGGGTGAAGCTTCATTTTCAAAATAGTCTGTGGGCTGCTGTCCTTTATGAATTCCATTGTATTTCCTTTTGAAGACTTAATCTGAAAGGTTTTCCCTTTTTGTGCTCCTTTCTACCTGGATCAAAACATTATCAGAAACAATGGCAAATTTGTACTTTCTTCTGTTATTACAATGCATCTTGAGCTGCTGACCACTGAGGCTTTCATGTGTTGTACAGTTCTTTTAAGAGAAGCTCATAGGCAACATCTGCATCCTCTGAGAATTTACTAGCATATAATCTAAGAGCTGCTGAATCAGAATGTGTAGTTTATACAGGGGTCACAACAGGCTATTCATACACATTTGAAAGGCTCAGGTCAATGTGGAGTCTCCTCCATATTTATATAACGTAACTTTGAATGTTTTGAGATCAAGCCTAGGTTTTTTTTTTTTTTCCTTGAATCGCTCTCATACAGAAGAGCCACAATTATTCCTATCAACTGTGATCTCTTGGTGGCATTCCTGGCCATGTCATAGCTGATTCCATGTTCCCATTTTTGGCCTATGTGAAAATAACCTGGGAAGTATCCCACTTGCCCATAACATTAACTCATGTACAGGTACAGGCGAGCATAGATGCTTATCTTCTATAAATGAAAACTAATCTGTGTGGCCTGGTGATACAGTCTTTTAATACCTTCCTCCAAGTGAAGAGGACAAGAAGTGTGGGGAGATTTTGCTCTGCCTCTCAGACATGATGCACTACAACTAGTTTCCATTCTCCTCTTCCCACCCAGGTAAGGGACAGCCTTTCATTCCCTAACACCTCGTTTTCGCAAGCTCCGCTACCTATGCCTACCTCATCCTCCTGCTCTTATCTCTCCATAGTCTCTCCCTCATTCTTTTCTCTTAACTAGCTCCTGATATGCCTCCCTTAGAACCCACGTACTGGAAATGATACTCTGGCTCTCTCGGCGAGTCTCTCACTTTAACCGGCATTGGAAAGAGCCATTGTGGAGACATTCCACAGGGAGTTTCCAGCAGGGAGGAGACTGTCTCCATCCTACTGTTTTATAAATAGACAGCTCTTACATGTCATCTGAGCAGCAGCGTCTAGGTTGTCTCCTCCTTGTTCTGTCTCCATACATACCCGAACACTCCGCTTTGGCTGAAATCGCTCCAGGATATGCTGTTGAATTTGGTAGTATAACGAATTAAATAAACTTTTCCTACTTATTTCCACAACCACCCCCCAAAAATTCTCGATTTACTCTTTTAAAAGCAATAATATTTTTAGAAGTATTGAAAAATAACCAAATTTCAAAGGAAATCTTCATACATGCTTTCTAAATCAATTTTACCTTCATCATATATCTGACTAGATAAATTGGCCATGACAGTCAAATGGTCCCACACCCATATGTATATGGGCAGCAATAATTGAACACATGGTTTTACTAAAAAACAACAACAAAAGAAAATAGCACATAAAGTTGAGAGAGGTATGTGATACAGAGGAACCAGAAGGAGATGCTGGGGTGAATAATTTTAAAATACATTGCATATATTTATGAAATTCACAAAGAAGAACTAAAAAAAACTCATATTTTTAAATGACCACTGAAGACAAGAGGAGGCATGTTAATAAACAGAACAGAATCAATATGCATATTTACATAATAAATTAACTTTATAATTCTTATCTGCAGTTCTCAAAAAAACATAATTTTGAAAATATGTATTTAAACACATTCTCATACTCCAATTGTTGTAAGGCAGAATTACTTATTTAGAATTCTAGGAACAGAAACATTATTTGTGTTGAAAGAAGAAATACGGAAGGAAACAAGATTATACTATGTGATGCTGGGTATATGTTTTCCTTTAGGGATTAAAGTCTGAAATATTTTAGGTGATTTATTTTACTAAGAAAATAGATTGGAAAGAATTACCTACCCATGAGGAAAACTTTTCCTTAGGTTATGGTTAAGTAAAAGCATGCAAATATTAGATATCATATGAAAGTCTTCTCTACTGAGCATTTCAAAAAGAATATGATAGGGAATGGGAGCTAAATTTACCTGTGCATATGAGAACAAGTATAAAGATTAAATTTAGAAATTATGCTGGGTTAAACTAAAGTGGTAATAATATGTCTCCACCAAGGCCCATGACCTCAGTAGCCCTGGGAAGTCAGCTAGATTTCCAGCCCCAAGCATAATTTCCCTCCTGTTGAATGGGCCCTCAATCCGATTATACAGCTAGCTGTTGGTTGCTGTCAAGATATGCCACTATTACACTCTCAGGGACATCTTGCTATGTTCGTCATAGGCTTCATGTCTGGGTAGGACTACTGGTTCCTTTCTTGTATTTTTATTTTTTGTTTACTTGGTAGCAAAATAGTGGTGTGTGTGTGTGTGTGTGTGTGTGTGTGTGTGTGTGTGTGTGTGTGTGTGTCTATGTCTGTGTCTGTGTGTGTGTGTCTATGTCTGTGTCTGTGTGTCTGTGTCTGTGTCTGTGTTTGTGTCTGTGTTTGTGTGTCTGTGTGTAATGGTAACAAAAAAAGAAGAGGCCATGAGTTGGAAAGAGAGTTGGGGTGGGGTGTTATGTTAGGGATTGAAAGGAGGACAGTGAATGGGGGAAATGATGCTGTTATAGTTTAATTTTAAAAAATGAAAATATGAAGCCCCAGTGAGTAAAGGTACATGCCACACAAGTCTGGTGATCTAAGGTCAATCTCTGAAACTCAAAAGTAGAAGGAAAGAATGAATTCCACATAACTGTCTTATGTCTTCCCTATGTATGCCAACACATACCCCGTGCACAAACACAATAATAGCAATTTTTTTTTAATTCAAAAGGATGCATCCAAAGTTAAATCGCTGAACCATGTCAGCCACTGATTGGTACATTTTGTCCCATATGTTATAAGAATAAAAATGATGACTGTATAAAACACAAACACACACACACACACACACACACACACACACACACACACACACAATGCTAAGACCCAAATGAACAAATGTGATCCCGTATTCTCTTTATCCACGTGACCCTCCCCTATAATTCTCAATGAACTCTTTTTTATTTGGTAGTGATGTTAAGAAAGCCCTTCAATCAACAAAGATGGCTAAGCAGGCAGAAGTACATGTCATACAAGCATGAGGAGCAGAGTTCAAATACCCAGAACCCACTTAAAAGCATGGGAGTACTATGTATAGTCCTAATGCTTCTGCAAGGATATAGGAGGATAAGAAAGGGGAATCCCCAGAAACTCAAGAACTAGGTATCGTAATTCCCAATAGAAAACCACTAAAGAAACCCTGACTCACTAACACACATATTGTATGTGTGCTTGTGTTCACATACATGAATGCATGCCCAAACACATTGTGTGGAGTATGCATGAAATACACAGATACAAAAGAGAGCCACAGACAAATGACATTCACTAAACTTAGATTTCAAGTCTCACTCTCATCCCCATGCTAAAGAGAAACCATAGCAATTTTTCTGTGATGACATCATCTCTGATTTTTATGTGAAGCAATCACAGCGTTTGATGCCTGTTTTGTTGCTCTTGAATTGTATAGTATATAGCACAATATCCTAATCTCCTATATTCAGTAAATGGAAATTTACCAAGGCTGTGGCGACCAAAGCTTCCCAAGAAGGGATCAAGCAGCAGATGCTGTGTTCCAATGGCATGCTATTGTTTGGAACAAGGGACAAAGACTTGACTCGGGAAAATTTCATTCTAATCTTAGTGAGCGGGGATCTGTATGTGACCCTGTTGTCTTATACACTGAATGTAGCAGAGACAACCACACTGAAGGAATGAAGTGGAAGTTTATTGGGGGATGGGGACAACAATGTCTGGTAATAAGAAATCTCAAATTTTTGATTGAGTGGAAATGACAGTGATTTCACATTAATAGTGCCCAAGGATGATAATACACATACTTGTTAATAAGTCAAACATTGTAGTGGTAAATCAAATCTAATATATCTTGTAAATATGAAATGAGGTCATGAGATGGGACAAAAACCTTGTGAAAAGCTACTAAGAATAAGGCCAGGCATTAGTCACTGCAGATGGTTAAAAGATGACTTACAGTGAAAGAGCTTTCAAGATGCCAAATTAAATATTAAATTACCATCTAGTGAGTCTCTAGGTCAGTTCACAAAGCAACTGGACCTAGATTGTGATAATTTTTTAACCAAAGAAAACAATATAAGAGAATTTTTCAAATTCACATACCAACTGTGACTTCTTTATGCTGTCATGGCATCCTGTTTGTTCTTCTGGTGTTAACAGTATAGTGGATTCTACTAATAAATCCATACAAGTGTTTAAAATTAACAATGTGAACAGTCAGAAAAAAATGATCATCTATATAAACAGTTGTTTAAAAACCTTTAAACTAAACCAAAAAAAGTTGGGCTTTATATAAATACCCACATAGAAACAGAATTGATAATTATATAAAATCACAAAGTCACATTGCACACTGTTTCTGCTTGGGGAGAGGAATATGTCAAAGACCCACTCTTGTATTTATAGTTTCTTACACCTCATTATGCAAACATCTTCTTATTCATCTTGCATTTGTGTGTCTCTACTACTTTGACACACCTCTTCCTTCTCATAAAACTCAGCAAAGAATGTGAAATCTTCCTGGATGCTCACTCTCCAGGTCAACATGTGCTTTTCTATGAACTACCTTATAGTTTCCTTCTTTTTCAAATGTCTCCTTCCCATTTGAAATGTCAATTATTTCTTTTGATATCTAACTTTTAGGCTTGTGGCCTAAAAATGACAATGTTTAGACTACTTTTAAATTTATTATTACTATTATTATTATTACTTCATATGTATGGGTGTTTTGTCTGCATGTATATCTGTTATTGTATGCATGATTAGTGACTATGGAAGACAGAATCAGGTATCAAATCCCCTGAAAATGGAGTTACAAAGGACTGTGAGCCATCTTGAGGGTACTGGCAATTGAGTCTGGATGCTCTATAAGAGGATCCAGTGCTATTTACCGCTGAGCCATCTCTCCAGCTCCTGTCTAGGTCATCTTTTGTGTCAGTAGTGTTTTATTTACTTTGCTCAATAATTATTCACTAAATTCTTACTGGTTCATGCCCTGGAACGTGTTGACCACAAGCAAATGTTTCAGTGATGTTCATACACTGGTACTGCCTGAGCTGATTCCTGAGAGTGAGAACGAGATGTGAGAACAAGAGAGGCGGGGAAGTGTTGGATAGAAGGAGCCACTGTCCTTGATAATAACTTGAGTACATATATCACTTCACTATAGCTGTCTCTGATCATTTACTGTAAAGAAAACCCACCTCTTTAAGATTTCTTATTTCTCTCCTAAATGCATTAGCCACACTGAGGAACACAAAGTGCCTGCTGGTTCTAGTGTTCATCTCTGAGACTTTTGTGGCTTCTGTCTTGTATCCTTCCTACATTTATAGGAGAATTTCTCTTCCAGAATTGCCACTAAAATAACTGGTATGATTTCCCTGTATTTATCCTTTGTAACTTCACCCATTGTAATCTTTGTATAATCTTCTTAAACATTGTTTCCTAAAGTTCTTATTTTAAATAAAAGCCTGACGCTCTTTATTGCATGACAGTTTCTCCACTGACATCTGGGTGTAAATTCTTTCAGAAGCTTGAGGACACACATTCACTACTGTCGCTTAGAACTTTCTGGTTCTTACATTTATTGGGCAACTTTATTTGGTAAAGATAATGTCTCCAACTTCCTTTTTTATTCAGGGCATTCCCTGCAATGAGCTTTTATTAACAGAATCCTCACCTTTCTCTTCAGCAGCTCCTGTGTTTTCTCCACTTTCTTCGGGACCCACAGACACTCGAGCACTCCACTTGGGTTGAAATAGCTCAAAGATGGGCTGATAAAATTAGCATGAGTAAGGAGCTGCCCAGATTTCCCAAGCACTTTCCAGGAAAACATCACAATTTCTCAAAAACAATTATAGATAAATAAAAGTTGCATGTACAGAAAACTGAAAAAAAAATTAAACAGATCTTTACATATGCTCTCTAAACACATCTATGTTTTCTTTCACTTAGTAATTGACCATAGAAGTCCAGAGGAGACATGATTATAGAGGAATCATACTGTGCATCCTTGAACAAGAAGTTAACTTCAGAATGCCTAACTAGTATTTGTAATAATCACAAACCATTGTAGAATATTATTTTAAGATATGTTACATTTGTTTGTGTTGTGGAATATTTGTTTAATGGTACAAAGATGTGTGCATTCTTTATGTTGAATTTGTTTAACTCTGTGAAGCTGTGTTACTGTGCCTGTCTAAAACACCTAATGGTCTAATAAAGAAATGAATGGCCAAGAGCAAGGCAGGAGAAAGGATAAAGAGAATAAATAGACAGGCAGAGAGAATAAATAGAAGGAGAAATCTGGGAGGAAAAGAAAAGGGAACAAGGAGAGGAAGATGCCAGGGGCCAGCCACACAGCCACACAGCCAGCCACAGAGTAAGAGTGAAAATAAGATATACAAAAGTAAGAAAAAGGAAATATCCAGAGGCAAAAGGTAGATAGGCTAATTTAGGTTAAGAAAAGGTGACAAGAAATAAGCCAATCTAAGGTCAGGCATTTATAATTAAGAATAAGCCTACTTTATGTGATCTATTTGGGAGCTAGGGGGTGCGCCCCCCAAAAGGGCAAAAATAACCAACAATATTTGGCACACCAGTGTAAGGCTTGAATATTCCTAGGTCCTGAAAAAGCTGAAAAGGGGGGGAAGAAGAAGAAGATGGAGGAGGAGGAGGAGGAGCTCCTTTAAGAAATTCTGATGAATATAAAGAACAATCAGACCACAACCCAAAGAACCATGGAGGCTATATATATAGCATGGAGGTCCCTAGGACGACTGTGGCTTATAATAAATTTCGGATTTACTCAATTATTGAAAAAAATAGCCAAATGAATAGAAACACATGAACTATGAACCAAAGGTTGAGGGGCCCCCAGCTGGATCAGGCCCTCTGAATAGTTGTGACAGTTGATTGGCTTGATCAGTTTTGGAGGCAACTAGGCAGTGAGACCAAGTCTTATTGCATGAGTTGGCTGTTTTAACACAAGACCAATGTGCTTATTGCATGAGTTGGCTGTTTGAAACCTGGAGCTTATGCAGGGACACTTGGCTCAGTCTGGGAGGAAGGGACTGGACCTGCCTGGACTGAGTCTACCAGGTTGATCGCAGTCCTCGGGGGAGGATTTGCCCTGGAGGAGGTGGGA